CACAACCTCTTTATAAGCATATTTTTTAAAAAAGTTATTAAGTAAACAAAACGTGTGATTATAGAGGGGGTTGACTGCATAAGTATAACAGAAGTATAATAGCATAATGTCAGAGAGAAATAAAATTAGAAATCGAGCGAAGTTTCGAAATCATTCGAAAAGAAATGAATGAATATAAGAGACGAGAAGGGTTGGGACAAAATTTAAATAAATGTCCGATATTTTCCAAAATAAGAAATTTTAAAAAATAGGGATATAAATAAATGTTGCTGTTGAGAACATAAATAATTTTCTGAGAACATTAAATAAATTTGTTCTCATGAGAACATAAATCTCAAAACAGATTTCCAACACTGGTTGTGAGGCTTTTAGTCAAATGCTTAAGTATTACTGGAATATATAAATTATAGTTGTAGAATCTTTCGAATTCATAAAATACAGAGTAATTATTAAGTTTCTACAGAAAATATTCAGCAGTAACACCTCATAGAGATGATCAACCTCATACAATAAAACAATTGATAACGAATTTAAAAGAAATTATAATAATTTCACACACAAAACAAGAATTACGTAAAAAGAACAAGACATTAATTATATAGAATAAGTTATCATTTTAACATAGAGAAAGGAACTAAGTATAATATGATATTCGGGCAAAGCCTTTACATTACCAGAAAAGGTATGACTGTAAGATATATGTAGAATAGTTTCGAGCGTTGCCAACTCCCACATTACGTTTGTGCAACATACATCTGGGTTATTCTAGAACCATTCTCGACTTTTTCAACATAATGTGCTAACAAAATTTTTACTCAGATGGAAAACTTTGTAACTTTGATACGATTTTCTTTCTTAAAATTAGGACCTCTTCCAAGTTCACACACAACAGTACATGCAATACTACAAGTCAATTCAATTTGTCAAATGAGTCACATAGGGTTAAATCATGCACACTGTAGTTCTCAGCCATATTTATGTGGTAGTGATACTTTTGGCTCTTTTTAATATTTGTCGTACGTACGTACGTACATATATACGTACGTACATACGTACGTACTTAGTGCATACGTACAGTACGTACCTTCTTTCGCTTTTTGTTCTTTTTTGCAAAATGGCCATAGAATTCTTTAAAAAACTTTCTAGCGATTTAACAAATCTTCTTGATAATGGTGAAGATTATAATGTAATAATTGAAGTCGGTAAAATGCCAAACTGTCAAATCTTTAAGGCGCATTCAATTATTTTAAATTCTCGATGTTCTTACTTTCGTGAAAAGTTATTTAAGACAAATTACGATAAAAATAATGTTAAAAAAATCAGTATACCACATATTTCTGCTAATATTTTTGAGACTATTATTAAGTAAGCTATAATGATAATTTTCTGATTACATTTTAAATTTTTAATTATTAATAATATTGTTTTAATCGGCTTTAAATTATATAGATATATTTATGGTGGTATAGTTCTATTTAATGAAATCGATGCATCTACAATTCTTGACCTTTTATTTGCTGCTAATGAATTTAATTTAGAAGAACTAGTCAATACCGCGCAAAAGCAATTGGTTGAGAATCATGCATCGTGGATACGTCTGAATTTTGCTAAAGTTTCTAAAATATGTTTTGAAAATGATGTTTTTAAAGCTTTGCAAGAGTTTTGCAACAATATTATTGCCAAACATCCAAGTACAGTTTTTAATTCTGAGGACTTTGAGAATTTTCCAGAAAAGGCATTAGTCTACCTTTTAAAACTCGACAACTTACAAATGGACGAAGGAAAAATTTGGGATCAAGTTATTCGTTGGGGAATTGCTCAAAATCCCGACTTGGATTCTAATCCTGCTCAATGGTCTGACGCAAATTTCTCAACTTTAAAAACTACTCTCAAAAATTGCCTACCCCATATCCGATATTTTCAAATTACCGGTGAAGACGTTATTGAAAAGCTATATCCATATAATCAAATCCTTGAACCTAGTTTGTGGAAAGATATTTTAACAAAATTAGCAGTTCCAAATAAGGTTATTACTTCGACTATTTTACCTCCTCGCATAATTTCAAATACTGTATTACCCCCAAGAAATACTGGAGCTTCAAGTGAAAAAATTGTGCCTGTTACCTTGACTACGTTACCTCCTCGCATAATTTCGAATACTGTAATACCCCCACCCTCATCCTCACCCCTACTTCCTCACATAATTTCAGATACTGTATTACCCCCATCTCCTCACATAATTTCAAGTACTGTATCTCCAGCTCCTTTTAGTTTTCCAATTACGAAATCAAGCGGTATTATGGTTTTTTTTTTTAATAATTTACTATGATATATAAACGTGATTATAATATATTCTATTTGAATTATTAGGTATATAG